ACGTTGGGCTTCCCTGGTCGCTCAGTCAGTGAAGAATCTGCCTGCAAGGTGGGAGACCCAGGTTCAATCCCTGGGGCAGGAAGATCCCTTGGAGAAGGAAATGGCAACCCACTCCAGTACTCTTGCCTGGAAAATTCCATGGATGGAGGTGCCTGGTAGGCTGTACAGTCCATGGTGTCGCAAAGAGTCAGACATGACTGAGCTACTTCACTTTCACTTTCAAAACCTTTTTTTACAGTTCTTTGGTGTATTCTTGCCAACTCTTCTTAATCTCTTCTGCCTCTGTTAGGTCCTTACTGTTTTTATCCTTTATTGTGCCTGTCGTTGCATGATATGAACACTTGGTATCTCTAATTTTCTTGAAGAGATCTCTAGTCCTTGCTATTCTATTATTTTCCTCTATTTCTTTGCATTATTCATTGAAGAAGGCCTTGCTATCTCTCCTTGCCATTCTCTGCAACTCTGCATTCAATTAAGTATATCGGTCTCTTTCTCTCTCACCTTTTGCTTCTCCTCTTTTCTCAGCTGTTTGTAAAGCTTTCCCTTTGCCTTCCTGCATTTCCTTTTCTTTAGGATGGTTTTGGTCACTGCCCCCTGTACAATGTTACAAACCTCTGTCCAGAGTTCATCAGGCACTCTGTCTACCAGACCTTGAATCTATTCGTCACCTCCACTGTACCATCATATGGGATTTGATTTAAGTCGTACCTGAATGGACTAGTGGTTTTTCCTACTTTGTTTAATTTGTGCCTGAATTTTGCATTAAGGAGCTGATAATCTGAACCACAGTCAGCTCGAGATCTTGCTTTTGCTGACTGTATAAAGCTTCTCCATCTTCAGCTGCAATGATTATAATCAGCTGACTTCAGTATTGATCATTTGGTGATGTCTGTGGTGGCCCAGATGGTAAAGAATCTGCCTGCAATGCAGGAGATCCAGGTTTGATCCCTGAGTTGGGAAGATCCCCTGAAGAAGGGATAGGCTTCCCACTGCAGTATTCCTGGGCTTCCCTGGTGGCTCAGATGGTAAAGAAGCCACCTGCAGTGTGGGAGACCTGGATTTGATCCCTGGGTGGGGAAGATCCTCTGGCAGAGAGCATGGCAACCCACTCCAGTATTCTTGCCTGGAGAATCCCAT